CCCGTGCGCTCGCCGCTGGCGATGGTCTTGAAGATGGCGTTCTCGATGCGGTCGGCCTTGTCAAAGAGGCTCATGTGACGCAGCATCATGATGGACGACAGCAGCAGCGCGGTCGGGTTGGCCTTGTCCTGGCCAGCAATGTCGGGCGCCGAGCCGTGGACGGCCTCGAAGATCGAGGCGTCCTTGCCGATATTGCCCGAGGGGGTGAGGCCGAGACCGCCGATAAGACCGGCGCACATGTCGGAGAGAATGTCACCGTACAGGTTGGGCATGACCATGACGCGGTCAGCGTATGGCGCAGGGTCCTGGACGATGCGGAGGCAGGCGCGGTCGAGGAGGTCCTCGTCGTAGGCGATGTGCGGGTACTCCTTGGCGACCTGTCGGCAGGCGTGGAGGAACATGCCGTCGGACATGCGCATGATGGGAGCCTTGTGGACGGCGGTGACCTTGTTGCGGCCGTTCTGCTCGGCGTGGTGGAAGGCGTAGCGGGCGACGCGCTCGGAAGCCTCGTAGGTGATGAGCTTGATGGACTGGACCACGCCGTCGACGACCTCGTGCTCGATGCCCGAGTACTCGCCCTCGGTGTTCTCACGGATGAGGACGGTGTCGACGTTGTCGTAGGCGGTCTTGAAGCCCTCGATGGACTTGCAGGGACGGACGTTGGCGAAGAGGTGGAAGGTACGGCGGAGGGTGAGGTTGAGCGAGACGTGGCCCTTGCCGATGGGCGTGGCGAGCGGGCCCTTGAGCGCGACGGTGTTCTTCTTGATGGAGACGATCGACTCCTCGGGGATGGTCTGCTTGCCGTCCTTGATGAAGGGGGCGACGGAGACCTCCTCCCACTTGATGGGCACGTCGGCGGCGTGGTAGATCTCCTTGACGGCGTTGGAGACCTCGGGGCCGATACCGTCACCGGGGATCATGGTGACGGTGTACTTGCCGTCGGAGCCCTTCTGCTTGTTGTAGGCCGAGGTGGGAGCGTTGGTGACGGGCATGGCGAGGCCGCGAACGGACATCTTGTTGAGCTTGAGCGCCGACGAGGCGAGCGAGGGGCGCTTGGCCAGCGAGGAGCTGGCCGATCGGAAGGCGGGGGCGGCGAACATGTCGTTTGCGGCGATGGGTAGAGCGACGACGGCGGTGGAGGACGACAGCGACGAGCACTCGAAGAGGGATGGATCGGAAGCGACGTGTGGAGAGGGGAGAGGTGGTGAGGAAGAAGATTTGTGCCTCGCTCGAATCGCAGGTGGCTCTCCCCGACGCAGACTCAATCAATCCAAAACCAGACCAGACCACCGTCGCCGACAGCCAGCCATCGACGCCCTCCTGCCGTCGCCATCGCCGCGTCCTTCGCTCCAACTGGCCGTCGCTGCCAACGCGCAGGCACAGCAAGGAAAAGAAAACAAAAAAAAATCCAAAATTCAAGGGGGAAAAGCGAGAAAAAAGGAAAGAAAGTCCAAGTGGGCACACTCGGCAGATGACCCAGGAGAAGAGGGAAAAAAGGGGCGAAGCTGCAATCTTTTGCGTCGATGTAAGGATGAGCAAAGTCAACGTGGACGAGAGGCACCAACTTCCCTCCGTCCCGCACCGAGCTACGATACTCCGCTGCCTGAGACCGCTGGATCTGTCCTACTGCAGAAGGTGTCTCCTTGCCTCAACATTATTTTCTTTCTATAGACTGTCTTTTGTTCTCAAAGCCGACAACATGCCAGCCCACACAATGAAGACTCGATGGTGCTGCTGTGTGGAATGAATCGTCTTGGAGCGTTGCGAAGAGCGGCGCTATCGGTCTTGGTGGGGAACTGTCTGGTTGGTCGTGGCCCGAGCGAATTTTCGAACCGAACCGTGGATGGCAAGCGCACCCTGAATCCAGTGTGCTGGGCGCGGAAGCAGGAGCCGGCCAGTCAAAGCGGGACAAGTCGGACGGCTTGCTCCGAGCCTCCAGCGAGCGTGCGCCTGTTTTTTTTTGTATTTCTGCGGATCGACGTCTCCGGGTCTGGCCTTTCGTCGGGTTTCGTGCCGAGTTTTTTCTCTTCTCTTTCCTTTGGCCTTGTCCTTTGCCTTTCGCGTGGGTGAGTTCATTTGGGCACACCGTGAACTCCGTCGTAGCCGACGAGTGAACTGGGACGTGCAGCTGCTGCCGTGTCAAGTCAGAGTCGAGTTGTCGCATTCACGGGCCCTTGCTCAGCTGCACGAGAGCGTCGGGGATTTTCGCCGGAAGGTGCAACCCACGGCGGCGAAAGAGAGGTTACAACATCGGCCCAGGCTGCGACCTTTCATTCGATCAGATAGGGCCGTCCGCGTAGTCAGGCGCTCAAACATCCAACCAGATACTTTACCCCGGAGCTGGCGGATATCTTGGTGCGTTGACGCAGGTACTCTCCTTTGCAAGAGGTAGAGCTGGACAAGGTGGCCGGTCAGAATGACACTTCGGTCGCTGATCCACAACGCCGGTCAATACCGCCAGAGGGTGGTTTGGTATTCCCGACGACGGGCGACTGGCTCAGGCGCGGATTTCTCCGAGACTGGCCACGGCAGACCGCTCAATCGTCGACTCGTACGCCACATGGCTTGGCATGGTCGAGCCATGTCACAAATATCGGCACGGCATGTGCACGACCAGGCTCCGCCATCCCCGCTGGCTTGCACTCGACGGGGGAGGCCGGCCACTCGACTTCCCCCACCTTGTGCGGCCGGCCGGCCGAGCATGAGTTGGCAGTCGGCAGAGTCGACGCTCCACCGCGTCCGCCCGCTAGAAGTTGAGGCTTGGCTTGACGCAAAACCAGAAGAACTGCATCTGCAACTGCACACCACGTCAGCTCGCGTTGGCTACGGCAAATCCCGTCGAGTGCCAGACAGCCCTTCTTCACGTGGGTGTGTCTTTCCTGCATTCTGCAATTTAGAAATCCATTTTGTTTTGCTCGTGGCAAGCCTGACGCACAATCGGCGCACGGATGCTATAGCTAAACGGGCCGACGACCGAGGGTTGAAAAAAAGAAAGAAAAAAACTCTGCGTGAGCATCGCTCGTCTTTCTGCGTCTTTTTTTTCTGGATTTTTTGCACAGGCGTTCGGACGCGGCGAGCCAGCGTCGACCACGCAGAAAGCGCGTCGTTCGTTCTTCCAGCCCAGCAGGCAGCGCCGATATGGACGGCGGGGGGTTTAGAGTCGAGGGCGCCGGCGCTGCAAGTTTGATTGTGTGGCCCAGCCAGCCAGGGTCGGTGTGACGCTCGAGATGCGCTCGTCTGCCAGTCCCTTCTCCCCATCCCACCCTCTCCACCACTCCTTCTTGTTCCGTCCAGCTCGTCGTCCTACCTTGCTGTCTTGATCATCCCCTTGACACAGCATCGCCACCAACATGAACACGCTCCGACAGCTCAACCGGGCTGCCGCCCCCGCCCTCAAGCAGGCCACCACCAAGTCGGGCCTGGTGCTGCCCAACCTGCCGCAGGTGCTCCGACCCGCCACCACGCTCGCTGCGGGCACGCCCAAAATCTCCAAGGGCCCCACCAAGTACGGCGGCGTCTACACCGTGACGCTCATCCCCGGTGACGGTGTCGGTGTCGAGATCACCGACTCGGTCAAGGAGATCTTCGAGGTGATGAACGTGCCCGTCGAGTGGGAGCAGTTCAACGTCTCCGGCGAGACGCACGGCTCCGAGTCGCTCTTCAAGGAGGCCATGGAGTCGCTCAAGCGCAACAAGGTGGGCCTCAAGGGCATCCTCTTCACCCCCATCGAGACGGGCTCGCACAACTCGTGGAACGTGGCCATGCGCCAGCAGCTCGACATCTACGCCTCGCTCGTCATCTGCAAGTCGCTGCCCGGCTACCCCACGCGCCACAAGGACGTCGACTTTGCCATCATCCGCGAGAACACCGAGGGCGAGTACTCGGGTCTCGAGCACTCCTCCTACCCGGGTGTTGTCGAGTCGCTCAAGGTCTCGACGCGCGCCAAGGCCGAGCGCATCTCGCNGAGAACACCGAGGGCGAGTACTCGGGTCTCGAGCACTCCTCCTACCCGGGTGTTGTCGAGTCGCTCAAGGTCTCGACGCGCGCCAAGGCCGAGCGCATCTCGCGCTTCGCCTTCGACTTTGCGCTCAAGAACGGTCGCAAGAAGGTGACGTGCGTGCACAAGGCCAACATCATGAAGCTCGGCGACGGCCTCTTCCTCAACACCTTCCGCCGTGTCGCCGAGGAGTACAAGTCGAGCGGCATCGAGTCGAACGACATGATCGTCGACAACACCTCGATGCAGCTCGTGTCGCGCCCGCAGCAGTTTGACGTGATGGTCATGCCCAACCTGTACGGCAACATCGTGTCGAACATTGGCGCTGCGCTCGTCGGCGGTCCCGGAACGGTGCCCGGCTGCAACATCGGCCGCGAGTTCGCGCTGTACGAGCCCGGCTGCCGTCACGTCGCCAAGGACATCATGGGCACCAACGCCGCCAACCCGGCCGCCATGATCCTGAGCGCCACCATGATGCTGCGTCACCTCGGCCTCGACACGCAGGCCAACCAGATCGCCGAGTCGGTCTACAAGGTCATCCAGGACGGCAAGGTGCGCACCGCCGACATGGGCGGCAAGTCCAAGACCCACGAGTTCACCCAGGCCGTCCTCTCCAACCTCTGATCTCTCTCTAGATGCGCGTCAGAAGCAACGGGGAATCTGGAGTCTTTCCGGCGCATCCCCAGAATCATACCGACGTCGATCTTGGGCGGACGGCGCCGCCTCCTTCAACCTTGGCAGTCGTCCGCACTGGACCGACAATGTACATCACATCTTTTTACGACCGAGCCACACTTTATGCAAGCATGCCTGATTCCCAGCCAAAAAAACGAGCGAGAAAAAAAAAGTGAGTTCAGAGCAGAGGGCGATGCTATGCGGGTGCGGTTGCCAGTGCGCGGATTGAGGCGGTGGGGCGGGAGAAGGTTGGGTGGGGCAGGCAGTGCGGGAGGGGTGCGCGGAAACAACTCGGTTCGGCGTAGGCGTCGGATGGTGTGTTGCTTGTCCATGGCTCAAGACGGCTGTCGGGTGCGTAGGTGCGCGACGCACTCCGCTCCGGTGCGTCTGCGTGTTCTTCGAGGGGGAGCGCCTTGCCTAGCGACCCGGATTGGTGGTGGGATCGCTTCGATTGACTTGGTCTACGAGCGGGTCGTTCTTGTTGCAGAAGATCACGCTGCTGCCACGTCAATGCGACGCGTGTCTGGCGTTCGGCATCGCCAAAGGGAGCTTGCTTGGCAAGAATGCTTGATGAACTCCTTCTCCTCTTGGTTCGCGGCTGATCCGAGCAGCGTCGCGCCCTCTTTGTGGATGTGCTGCATGTTTCGAGCGCCTCGCCATGCTCGCGCGACCCTCCTGTTCGGCTCAGCCGCGCAGACGATCGAGTTGTCACTGCCATCTTCTGTTGGAGAGATCGAGACGGGTGTCAAGAAGGCGAATCAGAAGGGCGAGGGTGGGTGGTTGAAAGGGATTCCTGCTGCTCGGGCCGTGCGAGAGCCCTGAGCATCTCCTTGCCAATCGTCGAGAAACGGCTGCTGCTACCACCTCCCCGCAGCCTGGATGTTGGCAGTCGAGGCGTGTGCATGAGCCCGACCACTGCCTGAATCTTCGACAGCCTTGCTACTGTATGTACGCGCAAAAATGACAGGTCACCGCTCCCCTCGGCCTTTTTGTCCACTCCGGACAGCCGCACACGTAGCCTCTCCCACTTCTTTCGCCAGCCAAGCTCGCACGACCACAATCCTCAGCATGTCCTTGCAGCGACGCAACCATGCCTGCCTCGATGTTCCGGTGGCTCAGACTCGAGCGAGCCAGAACCAACCTCCACTTCAGTCCGCCGTTGCCGAGCCTGCTGAGCCTCCTTTGCTCGGTGATCTTTTTCTGGAACGTGGCTGGCTTCAGGGTCCGGCCGGCAATGAATTCCACGCCTGGCTGGAAGACGGCCGAAGCGGCGCGAAGACTTGTGCGAGGCTGCGTCGCGGCCATCGGATCCTCTTCTGCCATGCTTCTCGCCACCATCTCTGGTCAACGACGAGCTGCATACAAGGGAGCTCAGGGTGCCATGAGCCGCAGCCACACGTGCTCACCATGTCCGACGTGGCTTCCGCTTCCGATACCTCCTATCGACACCGCCTGAGCCTCGCGCTGCACGCATCGCGCATCCTGACCGGCGCGCTCGACGACGAGCTGGGTATTCAGAAGGGCACAAAGACCACCAAACTCGGCGCTAAGCACAGGGAAGAGAACCAGGCGGTGCTGCATGCCACTCTCGCCGAGCGCGTGCGCAGCGCCATCGTCGCTTGGACCGAGCTCGAGGCCTTCCCGCTGCACCCGGACCCGGAAACGGCGACGGGAGATCTGGCGCTGCACCTCCTCTCGCACATCCACGCTTGCTTGGTCGAAAAGAAGCGCGATGCTGCATCCAGAGTTGCTGTTGAGGATGATCAGCGCCGAGGTATCAAGTCAAAGGGTGTCCAGCCCAAGGAAGACGTCGGTCTCGGCGTCAAGGACGTCAAGCTCGTCACCACGCTCCAGTCGCTCGCATCAAGATGGGCGTTGAGCTCACGTATCAAAGCGTACGATCGAGCACTCTTCTCACTGTCTCCCAACAGCAAAGCCGAGACAAACGCGGCTCTGCTCTCTTCGCAGAATCGATTCGAAGAGATCGATGACGAGGACGATGCGCACAGGCGCCACGCCGCCGTACTCGCCTTCGAGACGGCACGCACAGATCTCGCCATCGAGATAGACGCCTTGATCGCCATATTGAGCGACGTCGCAACACCGCACTCCACTGGCGGCCCTTCGTCGACGCTAACTGACGTGGTCACGGTGGTGCTGCGCGTCGGCATCGTAGACTACCTCTCTTCCCTCCTGCGCCTGGGGTTCGGGCCGTTGCCTCCGACACTGCCAGATGCACCACCGCAGCCGCGCTCTGCATCTGTCAAGGACGCCATTCAGAAACGAGCCGCAGCGGCAACCAACCAGCTGCTGCGATTCTTGTCGACGCACTCGGCCATGTCGGCACTCTCGTCGGTCATCTCGCAATCCGACGCCAAGCTCGGCGTGCCCTCGTTCGTCAAGGCCATCTCGTCGCGCCTGCTGAATGCACAGCTGCTGAGGCCCGACGGCGTACGCTCGCTCTTGATCATCACGTTCGGTACGGGCGATCTGACCGAGGCGGCCGAGCTCAACGCAGCCGATGGCCAGAGCACCGCTCCGCACACAGGCACCCAGGAGCCCGGCTCCAACTCACTCAAGCGCTTCGAGCAGTGCGCCCGGCTGCTTCTCACACCTCCGCAGGGCATGCCCGTCGATGTGTACATGCCCATCATCCTGCCGAACCTGCTTGCCGTTCTCGCACCGCACCCGAATGCTGCGGTCACCCTTACGCCGCCGCCACAGGAACAGATGCGCGCCGCAGGCTTTGTCCTCACGCGCATCTCGGAACGACATCCCGCGCTCTTTGCCAGTGCGCTGCAAGACCGCGTCTATGCACACTTCAGCCCGGCGCTTCCGCACACCGCTGCAGCATCTATGTCTG